ATTTCTGAAAAAAAAAAAAACGTTAGAAAGAGAAGAAAATTTTACGGAAATGATTAATTATAAGTGTGAAAAAAATAAAATTGTTATACTTTTTTTTTTTTTATAACGGAAACGTAGAGTAAAAATAATAATAATAATAATAATTAAATAAAGGGTCAAAGGGCATATTAAGTTTAATAAAATCAGGAGAATGAAATTGTCGTCGGTTTTTTAGTTTTTATTAAAAATCCCAATATATATATATATTAAGTTAAGTAAAAAAAAAAAAAAGGTTGTTCGTAAACGCGTGATAATATATATATAAATGTGTGTAAAATTTAAAATATATATATATATATATAATGAAAAAAAAATTTTTTTTATTGTGATTGGTTGATCGATGAATGAGAATGATTTTCATTGGTCGTTTGAAAATGGTGGTAGAAGATATAAGGGTTGAAGGGGGAGGTCTTTATTAACCGTTTCAAGGGGTGGAAATAGATTTTCAAAATGTGTTAAATCGTAACGTTTCACACACACACACACACACAAACAAATTTTCGTATAGACGAATAAAAAATAAAAATTTTTTTTTTCGGTTGTTGTTGTTTGTTATTTTATTATTATTATTATTATTATATTGTGAGATCGTGACGTGAGACAACAGTTCGGTTGTAGAATTTTTTTTTTTTTTTTAATATTTTATTTGAATTTTCGATTAATTTCGTGACTTTTTTTTTCCACCGTAAAATAATCGTACTTTTTTGTTTGTGCCGTTTGTCGTTGTTTGTTTCCGTTTTTTTTTTTTTTTCTGTGTGCGTTTCTACTATTTGATTATGATGGATCGTAATCCTTTAATAAAATTACATTCCGATGAACCTTCGACAACGTCGAAACCTAAAAATGTTTATTCGATTGATCAAATATTAGGAAATTCAACGAATTCAAACAGGGATCATCATCATCATCATCATTGCGATATGAAAGATGGTAATTATTATTATTATTATTATTTTAAATATTTTTTACGCGTTCGTTTAATAATATAAATATTTATATTTATATATTAATATAAATTGAATCCAAATCAAATGTTAAACCTTCTCTTCCCTCTCTCAACCATTCGCGAAATCAAATTTAATTAAATTTTCCATTATTTTAATTTTCAATATATTATTATTATTATAATCGTGTATAAATATATACATATTAATATAATAAAATACTTTGAATATATTATAATATAAATATTTTTAATAATAAATTCACACCACAAAATATAAAAAAAAAAGAAAAAAATTTATACTATTATAAAATCAATCATGTTTTCCTTCCTCTTTAAATTTTTTAAAAAATTTTAGTATTATTATTATCTTTATTATTATTATTATTTATTTACTCGCGTAATTTATTTATTTAAATAATAATAATAATAATAATTTAAATAAATAAAAATGATTTGATGACGTTTTGGAAACTTTTTTTTAATAATAATTCGTCGTTATAAAAAAAAAGAAAAATCAGTTATTATAAATTATTATTAAAATTATTATTATTATTATTATTTTTATTATTATTATTATTATCATCATCATCCTTCGCTCATTTAATTAAGAAAATGATGATGATGATGATAATAATGATAATAATATGTAAAAGGATTTTAAAAATAGTCAGTGAATTTGTTTTTCGCGTTAAAAAATTTTTTTTATGATAATAATAATTATTATTATTATTTAGGAAAATTCGTTAAGCGAATTATAAAAGGTAATTAGTAGTAGTAGTAATGATAATGATGATAATAATAATAATATTAGTAGTAAAAAGGAGTAAGTGATGATTACATTCATTCAGGTACACCACCGAGGGGGTTAATTATTAAAATGAAAAAATTTTATTTTGAATTTAATAGAAAACGAATGCCGCGGAGGAGGAGACAGCGGATCAACAACGTCTGGAGATTTGGATTTGACAGTTGACACAGACGAAGGTCAACCAAATGATGACCTTTCAGAAGTTAAACCGAGGAAAATTCGTAGGAGTCGAACAACGTTTACGACTTATCAATTACACCAATTGGAAAGAGCATTTGAAAAAACTCAATATCCAGACGTATTTACGAGAGAAGAATTAGCAATGAGATTGGATTTAAGCGAAGCAAGAGTTCAGGTAAGAGACGCCATTTTTAAATTACAATTAATAATGATAATGATAATAACATCGATAAAACAATAAAAAAATTAACGTTTTTTACTCTCTCATTCTCTCTTTTTCTTTCCGTCGTTTCTCTCGTTTTCTGCCTTCTTTAAATTATTTCAATAATTTTTATTATCGTCTCACTCACTCTCTCTTTCTCTTTCTCTCTCTCTCTTTTTTTTCTTCTCTTTCTTAAATTACATAAATTAATAAATATTAAAATTATCATTAAAATTTTTAAAGGAAAAATTTTTCTTTTTTTTTTTTTTTAATTATTTCCTTTTTTCCGGCTTGAATGACTTTATGTTATTAATTAATTTTTTTT